CGGAGGTGCTTGCACTTGGAAAACTCCGCTACGCTCCTCAGTTTCAGATCCAGTTGGGAGTGAAGTGAATTTTAAATGACGGCTGTTCTTGGACGCAAGCGTAACCCAACTTTCGCTAGTGCCGGCTTGCTATTTTTCTACGCACTCCGTCGGGAGTTTGGAAGTAGCCTTACGTGTAGTTACTCCGATCGAACTGGGATCCGCTTTAGTCAAATGTGAGCTACGTGTGGTATTGGGACACCTGTTGATGTTCTGGCCTCTAGGTGTTGTGTTGCTTACGGTGTTATTAGCAGTTCTTCGCTGGTTAGGAGCAACCACCAAAGGGGAGGATTGGGTTGCACAGTCCGCTATGCTTGCCCCAACCGTAGTGATTTTGGTGGTCACCATTTCCTCAAAGTTGGCTAGAAACTGGTCATACTTCTGACATAATAGGAGCACGCTTTTTATCATTGGGATCGATGTGCATTCCCCACAGAACCATAGCGAGTCTGGTTTGTTTAATAACTTGGCGTGACTGGGTTTAACTCGAAGGCCTCTCGCATGGAAGAAGTTGCACAAAATGCCCCTTTAACAAGTATGGAACATGATCCACGTAGGTCTTTAGTCGGTGGCACACTGGGCATCACGCTTGTTGAGCAAATGCTACGAACCAGTTGAATGACTCATCCTCTATGGTAAAAAGTCGTTCTGTTATTGACGTTGTCGGTAAGGGCACAGTGTTCACGTTGCAGTTGTGTGCTTGCAGGCTGTCCTCTCTGGCGTGCCAGTCGAATATGTCAGCTTGAACGTGGGGCAGAATACACGAAGGTGTGATTGAGAATTTTCGTGGTTAAGCATATGGATCGCGCCGGGTGAATTTGCCTTCAGACCTGTAGCTGCACCAAGCAATGTTGGATTTGAACGAGTGACAGTTCGTTCGAAAGCTTTTGAAATGGTATATCGAGTGAGACCAAACAATATCTCCGATGGTTGGAGTTAGGCAACTTTTGGCGTCTGGATATCGGCGAAACACTGCCTGGAATTTAGAAATCAGGGTAAATGAAGGATGCACTGGAGTATACTCGGGAAACTGGTATCAAAAAGTAGAGCTTGTAAAAGCACGACGAATAAGTATGGATCCAAAGGTGTGCGACAAAATGTCGCTGAACCACAGTTAAAACACCACGAGTGCACAAGTGAGCGATTAGCACGCAACTTCTTCCGATTGCTTTCTGACAATGGTGGCAGCTTTATACAGTTGTCAATGGCCAGTTTGTGTCTCCACTTACAGTAATGTATAGGGTACGGTAAGCGTCTTCCTTCGTCCGCCACTTTGCTATTTACATAAAACTCAAACTAGATATCTTGGAATATATTTGGAACTGATCGGGAAGTCATCGTTTCAGAAAACTTGGCGGACGACAGGTTAATATATTTATGATGATACACAAATTTTCGATTTTGACACAAAAGCTTCATAAGGCGAAGTGGATTAACTTAACATTGGCAATTTTTAAGCATAATGGCTAAGCCACATGCAGAGACTAATCAATTTGCAGTTTATCGATGAAACATTACAGCGGTCAATGGTCACTAGGCTCGTGTGTACACTGCGGTTTGTTTCAGTCGGGGTCAGATGGGGAACAGAAATGGCTGGTCCGAGGATAGTTACATGTGTGGTCAACAATCTTAAGTTGTCCGTTGTAAAGAACTTGGTTACTGATATAAGTGATATATAAAAAGACAAGTTATATCAGTGACGAAGTTCCTTGCAACGGACCACTTAATATTGCTGACCACACATGTAACTATCCTCGGACCAGCCATTTCTGTTCCCCATCTGACCCTGACTGAAACAAACCACAGTGTACACACGAGCCTAGTGACCATTGACCGCTGTAATGTTTCATCGATAAACTGCAAATTGATTAGTCTCTGCATGTAGCTTAGCCATTATGCTTAAAAATTGCCAATGTTAAGTTAATCCACTTCGCCTTATGAAGCTTTTGTGTCAAAATCGAAAATTTGTGTATCATCATAAATATATTAACCTGTCGTCTGCTAGGTTTTCTGAAATGAAACTCAAACTGCTTCGCGAATCTTTAGTAATCTACCCGGTATCCGTCAAAATCAGTTAGCTTAACTCAGGGCAGTCCGGTCTCTGCAATCAGCGGATGTAGAACTAACGTCACGGCATTACCCACCGCGGCTGTATGGGAGTCTAACAACACATCAATGTTACAGTTCGTAAGTGGCTGATTTAAGAATGTCATGGAAAAATTAGTGGCGAACTCATCGATTCTTTTCAAAGAATTGGCAGGAAGTTCAAGCAACTTGATATCGCCTTGCCCCTCTAGGAGCGATGCGCTGCATCTCGCGAATTTTACATCCTATTTGGCCATTAACAGCGTTCGCTCTTGATGAGTTCCGATTTCCTAGCTTCGAGTTCTAACTCTTCTCTAAGCTGCCTTTCCTTAATTCAGCAAGCAGAATTCTTGAGCGCGAACTACAGGCTGAACCCTTACGACTAACACGAGAGCTGGAGTTGGAAACAGCATCGTAAGGGACTTGCCTTTAATTTTCCGCCTTCTTGGCGACGTGACGGGCATTGCGATGAAGACACAAACTCCAACTGAGCACTTCCGTCCGCTACCAGCGACACCTATCTGAAGACTTACTTGTTACCAAGATTATTGATGTCGAACGAATGTTAAAGAATCGTCCATTAATATCCCCAACAAACGATAGTCGCAATTGGCACTCTCTAACAAGGAACTCCCCACTTTTGATTCGGCACGAACTATTAGAAGTTTCCACCTCAGACACCAGGGAAAGGTATAGCAAGCGAGGGAAACAAGTAATTATATCGCTACTATAATTTTGTAAATATGGCTGAGAGAAGATCTCACAACTTTGAACGTACGAGAAATATGGTTGCATCCAAAAAGGGACTTGCTCGTCATTGACGTACTTCTAGCCATGTCCAAAGTGTGCTTCAAGGACGTTGGCCACTATATATTATCGTGGATTGTGAGATCCGCGATGAGCGATCAGTACGGCAGTTTCTGTCAAGACGGCTTCGGGATTAGTGAAGAGGGACATAGGAATGTTATGCCATCTAGAGGGTGATGGATAGCAACGTTTAATATCCTTGTGAGTGCAGGATTGTAGTTATGGAGAACGGATTTCATGCAAACTCACCCATAACATACGAGACGCCAAAGAGGCGCACGTATTAGGAGTCATGGAGATTGGATTCTATCGTTGCGGACCTTCTGTGGTGTAAACTTTCCAAAGCCTAACGACGTAACAACTGTGAGTCCACGTAAGTTAACATCGTAGGATGACAGCCAGAGTGGTAGCAAACAATAGACAAAACTAGAATGTCGCAGCTCGGATGGCCCCCATAGGTGCCGTTCATAAATTCACCAAACCAACGGAGAACAAGGCTGCAAAACCAGTAGCCATCAGGCGCAACCATGATGCCTCAAACCTAATATATACTAATGTCCCCGAACCCAAATCCAATACAATTAAGGGTAGGCTGACAGATGATCGAGATCAATGGAGTTCCATCTGTACGGAAATCGGTATCCATGCTGATCCCACGACATCAAACCACATCTCGCGTCACACAAACGCATTGCATTACGGTCAACCCAGGTTACTTCATCATCATCAATCATCAACAGCAGTACATCAGCCATTTGTACTGATGCTTCGCTGCCATACATCCACGAGGACCTATGAAATAAAAAATAAGAAGAGGGAGAGAAGGGGACTTACCTGAAAACCTTAATGCCGTAAACAAACATTCGGGGTCAAGGCGCCTACACCTTGTGTAGACAACATACCGTCACAAACAGCTGGCTATCATGCAAAGATAAGGCGGCATCGGCGACACAGCTTCCTTGTGGCTTTCAATGCCACGCGTCATAATCAGCCATTACCCCGCAGATAACTCAGCACCAAACACACTTTAAACAGACAATCCGATTAGGAGACGGCAGCAGACGCGCCACTGGTGTCTACTGCGAGCCATGTCCTTTAAAGTCTCGAGTCAAGCACAAGGCGGGTCACGTAAACTCCAGCCCGAGAGGCGAGACCGACCAGCGGCACCCAGTTTGGTCGTCAGTGACTTCATTTTCCGCTGCCAAATCAAATTCTGTCCACCTCGAGCCTTGCGCCACCCTACACCTGGCAGACTAAACAAGGCTCTTCTAGGTAAGCGGTGACCAGGCATACGTAGCACATGCCCTAGCCAACGCAAGTTATTCAGTGCTATCTGTTGTTCTAGCGAGCTAGCATGATCATCACCACCTACGCACATCATCGTTGCGGACACGCTGGTGCCACGCGACTTCAGCAATGCTTTGCAGACAACGATGATCTAAGACTTGAAGGCGCCTCAGATCTTCAGACCGAAGCGGACAAAGTTTCACTACATTGAGCAGAACGTACCTCATTGTGGCTTTGTATACACGGCCTTTCAGACGGAGGGAAACTCCCTTCTGTCGCCAAAGATGCCGTAGGTTCAAGAAGGTAGCTCTGGCTTTTGCAATGCGTGAGCTAACGTCAAGTTCTATGCGCCCATCATTGCTTATGCAGCTGCCAAGATAAGTGAATTGATCAACCACTTCGATTTCCTTGTTAGCAAGCGTTAAGGGTTCATCAAGTGGCTGGTGGTCCTGCACTTTGAAGGTGCGAAGCACCTACCAAATAATGGGAGCACTCTAGACAGGCTATACAGAGTTGATTGTGCCGCCCCAAAATGGTCGAAAAGCATGACGATATCGTCCACATAATCTAGATCAACTAACCATTCACCAGACAGCACTTCAACGTCTACATCGTGAGATTCCGCAAGGGAACACTCCATGATAGAATTCACAAAGAAATTAAACAAAATGGGGAAATCGGACAACCCTGACGAACGCCACTTGTGGTCGGAAAGCTATCCGATAGGACACCGTAAACCCTGACACGAGCTATAGTGTTCGAGTATCGAGCACGAAGGATGTTCACATATTTCTTGGGAACATCTTTCCGCGCAAGTATTCGAACAGAATCGATCGATCGACCGAATCGAAAGCACTCTTGAAATCGAGGAACACAGCTATTGTCGATCTGCGGTGTGCGTGGCGCTGCTCTAGCACCTGCCTCAAAGTGAATATATGATCTATACAGCCATGCCCTGGGCGGAAACCGGCCTGCTTTTCCCTAATCTGAGATTCCCGTTCCGCAGTGAGGCGACGAACGATAATCGAGGCTACTACTTTTGTCACAACTGGCGTTAGGCTAATACCACTGTGGTTAGAACAGTCTGTGCGACTGCCCTTCTTGTACACTGCCACTATAATAGATTCACTCCAATCAGCCGGGACATTCATTCCCTTCCAGATACATTCGAATAAGAAGGTCAGTGGTTTGCAGAGGACCTCACCTCCATCCTTAAATAGTGCAGGTGGGAGGGAATCCGGGCCAGCGGCACGAAAACGATTAAGGGCTGTGATCTCATTTCGGACGTCGGCCTCCGACGGAGGCTCTAAACTAACCGTCCATTGCTCGTGCTGCATCACCTGAGTAGGAAGAGGTCCGGCAGCAGGGGGCCAGCTGAACTGAGGTTGAAAGTGTTCCGCCCAAAGAGCCATACGGCGCTCCTTATTGTGTATCAGCGCACTCGCGCTGTCTCTGATTGTGTCACTGACGCCTGGTTTTCTGGGAACAGTGGTGCGGATTAGCTGGAAGTGCTTGCAGTAATTGCCTACTGCTACTGTCTTCTAAATTTCTTGAGCCCTACTGGTCCACCAGGCTTCCTTGTCAGCACACAGGCTCTGTTTTACTTCACGTCTAATAGCCCGTCTGGTCACACTGTGTTCATCGCCAGCCAGGAGGTGTCTTCTACATTCCAACAGGTTCACCGACCTATCGGATATCCAGTGACTAGTGCGGTGACGACGGATATTGCCACAAGCAGATGCTCCTGCGTCGTACATGGCGGCCAATATCCTATTCCACTGAAGCTCAGCGTCATTAGGACAAGACAGCGGAAGTTCGGTATGCAGTGCGTTTTGATAGGCTTGCCTGACCGAGGGCTGAGACAATTTCGCAGCTGCCAATCGCGGGAGAGGTTTAGTGCGCCTCCCGGTAAAGTTCTTGGAGAAACGACAGCGTACCAAGGCATGATCAGAGTCGACACAGGTACTCCAGTACAAGCGACAATCCAGGATGCAACCACGTAACCTGTAACTTATGGCTATGTGGTCAATTTTGGTCCATCGCTGGCCAGGTACAGGAGGACGTCAAGTGGCACTTCGGCGCTCACTGTGTCTAAAAGCGGTGCTACTAAGAAACAACTGGTGCTCCGCACACAATTGCAGCAGACGCTCACCGTTGTCAGTCCGTTCTGAGTTCAGTCCACAATTACCATCCAGCTGAGCTTCTGAAGTGCTCAGACGCCGTACTTGTGCGTTCATATCCCCTGCAAATACTATAACATCTGAAATAGTAGCACTGCGTAGTAGCGCGTTCAGTTCGTGACAGAATGTGTCCTTGACAGCATTAGAACTGCAGTCTATAGGAGCGTAAGCGGAAATCAAAAACAAACAGCGTTTTGTAATACTTCGTGAATCAACCATGGCTGATGTCGTCAAATGTGCTGCACATAAACAGCTGTTCGCCGAAATCCAATCAACCAACGATGGCTCAGCCTTGGAGCTTGGAATGATGCCTACACCAGCTTGACCCGTGAGTGCTGCAGCGACGTCTCCGGATGCGTGCAACCAATAACGAGAGGATAAGCCGGGTACAGTTAATTTAATAACCCCGTTGGGGTCAGTGCTCCTAGTTTCGGACACGCAACACACATCAATACCCAGTGTGTCTAAGGTGTGTGCGAGTGCAGCCTGTTGACCTGGTGGACTTACAGTGCGAACGTTGAATGTCGCCATGGCAACGGGATAGCGTGGCCTTCTAAGGGACTTTTGCCGATAGGTGTCCGATAGTTGCCATGGGATGGTGCATGCAGATGATGCTGCTTCAGTGGCACTTCAGTTGCTGTCAATTAAGCTGGGAAATATACAAGGACGGTTAGTAATGGGGGTCGGGATGGGAGTAAGAGAAAAAGTTGGAAAAGAAAGAAGGGAGGCGTCAGCAGTAACATGTTTTCGCTTATCCGCCCTACTGTATGCAGCATAGAAGGCGACCCCTGATAATCTGCGCGACGGCCGATGCATGATGAAGTATATGTTTGAAGAAAATGTCATGGTTGTATGTGGGCTGAGATACTGCCAGTGCGTCCAGACCTAGACAGGAGGACGATTAGTGTCCTCATCCAAAGCCTTTGGCTCAAAAGCCTGTCCGCAAGGCAACGGGGAGGTGGCAATGATTTAGTTTTACAGAAATGGGCGCCATCCTATTTCAAACCTCCAACCTGGAGGACCGGGAAACTGAGTTTGTCTGACCTCTAACCATTGACCAACCTGGTAGGAGTAAGTCTCAAGGTGCCCAAAGACACCACCCAATATACTCAATTGGTCAATGAGGTGCGCAAACAGTCGTACCACGTTAAGGTCCAGTCTCTTTGCGATGTTGCGTGGGCCGTTGCGGCAGAAGGTTCCGCAGAGGACCACGGTAGCTGTCTTATAGGCAGGAGAATCCCAGCGCGCTCTGGTGAGAATCCAACAGTTGTTTGAAACTTTCCTCTGTCTCAGCATCAACAACAGGATCCGGCAACCGTAAATCGTGATAAATGCTTTGTTCTCATCGTTGGCTCATCAAACCCATTTGGAAGTTACCACATTCGTGGTACCTTGCTCAGAAGCGCAACCTAAGAGAGAGACCTTCGAGTGATAGTGTCATCAGACCTCAAATCTATTCAAGACACCCAGAAGAGGGTCGCCGCGGCGTACAGGATGTTCCATTCTATACGTAGAGGGTTTTTCTCCTGACCCCGGGAAATTTCCGACTCTTATTTGGCTCGCATGTACGCCCGATTCTCGAATACAGGCTACCCACTGCCTAACCTCTCACCAAACCCGAATGTGATATGATAGAGAAGATTCAACGGCGTGGATCCAAATCCGTCCCTGACTTGCGAGACCTGTCGTATCCACAACGACTTCAACGACTGAACTTTTTCTGTCTACGTTACCGCCGTCACCGAGGAGATTTTATATTCGCTCGACGTATTCTCAGAGGAGAACTGGGTTGCGATTTACAAGACATCTTTCAACTCAACACAATTCGACACGAGGCCACCGCATGAAATTGTTCAAACCGAGGAATCTCCGTGTGCAGCTCAATTTGGCCCAGGTTACTTCGGGTAACACTGAACTCGGTGGATGAGACAGAGGTCGATCTGCTGTCTGCGAATCGACTCTGCAACACCGCGAATGGAGTGCGCATACTACCTGAAATCCCGTTGAAAGAACGTGCAACGGACACAACTAACCCAGCGAGGAACAGAAAAGGTCGTCAAACAAACTGTGATTGCTTATGGTATTCCTGAGCTTACTGATTCCTCTTTCAAAGATGTGCAGCTACACGACCGGGCGCAATAGCATTACATCCGTGAGGCTCTTTCTCTCAAAAATATCGTGACCACCTAGTTGACTAGGATCCCGTTATCATCAAACCATAGGGGTGTGGGCCCAGGCTGTTGAAACTGGTGTTGCAATCAGAACTAACGGCACAAACCCTTCTAGAGAACTTAACTAAATTCCGTAGCAGTCTGCCAACAGAAATTCGTCTGAAAGTATCAGGAACACCACGATCTTCTAATGACAACTCAGTGGAGTCACAACTATCAATGTAAACACTAAGTGTAGGACCCGACTCGGCGGTTTCAACAATAGATATAATATCCGGAGGGAAACTGCAGAGCGCGAGCGAACACCGAGATCCGGGGCATCTGATACTTGAATATATACCAAATTCGTCTCCAGAGTCTGCAAACCACACATAGGTGGAGTGGATAATCTTCACCTAAAGCCCTGCAGGCAGCCGTTAATCACCTAGCCCAGCGAATTCCCGGATTCTTTCAGAGATGTCCGTCTGATCCTACCATTTACCGTCTGGTAACAATTCTCTCTGCCCTTTCCAAAGTCATGGATGCGATCAACGCTGACGTAATTGTCGGCTAGTTGGAAAACGTAGGCGATGCACTATTATGATGGGTTTCTACTTTTCTCCGTGAACAGTGGTTCTAGGTTGGAGTCCGAACATTTCTGCCCGAACCTAATCGAGTAGTGTGCGACGAGCTTGCGAGAGCCATCACCTCAAAAATTTTACTTTTCCGGATGACGTTAACTGTAGGCTAGCCATCAAGAGAATGGACGACTACGAGATCCTCCATGTGCGACCTAGATGGGATCTGGCATTGACCAGTGAGGAATTCACTGGCATTGCATGCGGTCAAGTGACACACTGTCCATATCCGACAGAGACACGCCCATCTCTAAAAAGTGGGGCATATGACCGGCAGACAAGCCCTCAGGAATTTGACCTCGGAGTGCTGTTGCGTACGAGTTCGGTTATTCCAGGCAACCAGAATCCGTTTCAAAAGTGGCAACAAGCACGTTGTTAGCTTGCGGATGGCATTCGAAAGTTTGGATTCAATCATCTCCTCTACCATAATCCACGCTTACGTGCGTTAAGACGTCGAATGGGCAATCCAGGCTTGGCATGTTTGGCTAAAACGTGAGCTTACAGCGCTCGAAACTCAACGTTGTAAAGCAACAAAAATTGTCAAGAGATTGTGTAGCTTTCATCCGAACAACGAATAACGACAGTCGGAGTTTTCACTAGACGATACAAGTGGCTATTTGGAGACCTCATATTAGTCTACCAGATACTGTGCCTCCCTACTTACACATGCTGCCACCAACTGAAACTCATCCAGAACACCAAGTTCAAAGGCCAAAGCCAGAAACTGAGACAACAACACAGTCGACTTTCATTAATGCTAGACGAACTGCAGCTCACAGCGACGCAGTGATTCCGCCATAAGTAGCGATCGAACGTTTCGGTGCCTACGCTGGTTATGTACTCAACGACAGCCTCGACGTTAATAATTCTATACTACCGGACGCATCGTTACAAAATGGCCCAGGGGAACAGATTAATCGTTAACACTGTTGTGAGAGGATAGGTATATAAACGGAAATGTATTAGAACCATCATCTATGCTAGTGAAGGATATGTTCAAAATGTCCGCCGGTGTTCTGCTTGCAGTACAGAAACCGCTTGATGCAATTGGCGAGCATTTTTCCAATGTATCCCTCGTGAACGGGCAACATTCGTTTGTAGAATTTTCTTTCCATTGGTCAAATGTAGACGACCTTTTTTCGTACACGCGGTAATTAAGATAGTCCCATAGAAAAACGTCCATGAGCTTCAAATCTGGTGAGCGAGCATACCACTCTACTGTTCCACCCCGTCCGAGAAAATGGTGGCCAAATTGGTCGGTGAGGTAAGTACGCACGGTTTTAGCAGAATGTGCAGTTGCACCATCCTGCTGCCAACAAATGGTACTACCTGCACCTTCGGCCTCCAACTGGGGAAGCAAAAATTGATGCAGCATCTCCAAGTACATCGATGCTAGGAAAAGATAAGGCTTTAGTAATTTAAAACGACCAACTACCGGTCACAT